CTCTGTCCCTGGCAGTAAAGGTAGCCCACGCAGGGCAGAAGACATGCACAGAACACAAGATAACAGAGAAAGGAAAAGTCCAGGGAAAGGATGGGTGAAGGTTAAGCATACGAGAGAAGGAAAGAGATAACACAGCAGGCAAGCCATGCAAATTCTGGTATTTTAGAATAAAAGCTGGGAGTAAGAGGAATGGACAACAGTAGAAAAGAAAAGCAGCAGTGGCAAGCAAGGCAAATGGGGTGCTGAAGAGAGATTATGAAGAGGAGAGTGAGGGCACAGGGAGGAGGGTAAGGGCAGACTCCTGTGTAAAGAAAAGTCACTATGAGAGCAGGAAGAGAGAGAGCAACAAAACAAAAGGACTGAAGCCAAAGAAAGTGATGAGATGGTGACTAGATGTACACAGGCAGGCCCTAAAAGAAACTGTGTAAAGATGATATTGTGAGGGTCCATATTCTCCACACCTCACTTGTCTCTAGAGCTCTGCACAGATACAAAATTTGTATCCACATCTGTATCTGCATTAATGAGCCACAGATATCCTTACTGACATCCACAGATGCAGATACCTGTGGATATCCACAAAATTGCAGGATTCTAAAATAAAAATTTGTATCTGTATCCACAAAAATGAGCTGCAGATCGCTTTCTATCCACAGGTACCACATCTGTGGATGTGAATGAGGCTGATATCTGTGGATTTACAGGGCTCTACTTTAGGGATGGAAGTGACTAGTCAACTATCCAATAAGCAAATGCTTATCGGATAGTTGACTAGTGACTTGACAAATTGCTTCCCCCCCATCTCCTTACTGCTTCTATCAGAAAGAGGCAGCAAGTGGGGGAGCAGGATCCAGTGCTGGGGGGAGCTGGCTTAAAAGCCAGTTCCCCCAGAACCATCTCTGTGGGGACAAGGGGCAGGGGTACAGCAAGGAACTGGCAGTGTTTCCGCCTCTGAAATGTAACAAGAGCCAGGGTCTTGCTACATTGCAAAAGCAGAAGTGCTGCAGGGTGCCTGGGGTCTCAAACAGTCCACCCCTAGCACCATGCTCCCTGCTTTTGAAATGTACAAGAGCCCTCCTGGGGCTCCTGTATATTTCAAAAGCAAAGCACCTGTGCTCCCCACAGAGCTTCCGCTTTTGAAATGTAGCAAGAGCCAGAGACACTTATTGACTAATCAAATATATTGACTAATCGATTAGATGATTAATCTAAATTTAACAGCCTTACTCTACTTATCTCCATAAGGTGGCTCTTACTACATTTATAAAGCAGAGCTGGCCACAGCGGTAGGGGACCCAGCGCAGGTCTGCTAATTCCTGCCTCCCGCCGAGTCCTCGTTGCACCTCACTCTTCCCTGCCCCCCTGGAAATGGTGCTGGGGGGAACTGACTCCAAAGCCGGTTCCCGCCAGCACCCATCTCCTGCTCCCCTTTCCCCCCACCGTGGTGTCTCTACTAAGAGGCAGCAAGGGGAGGGGAAAAGAGTAGTCAAGTAATGACTCAACTACCTGATAAGCCTAAACTATTCAACTAGTCGCTTACATCCCTAGCTCACGTAGCCATGCGACTTTTGCCAGGGAAAAACACCCAGGTTTGGCAACAAAAAACTAGAGAGATTAAAAAACATGTGTTTTTGTAAATGTGTAACTGCTGAAATGGTCAGCGTTTACATGGAGGGGGAGCCGCTCCACAGGAGGTAGTTCCCCATGAACACCAGGCCCTGCTAAGCTACCTGCCCCCCCCATCCTCTGCTGCCTCTGTATCAGAGGCAACAGTGTGGGGAGGCAGGCAGGAGCCAGTACTCACAGGGAACTGGCTCTGAAGAAAAAAATCATCTCCACATGACACTGTCTCCTGCCTGCCTCCCTTCTCCACCCCCTCCCACCGCAGCACTGCTGCCTCTGATAGAGACAGTGGAGAGAGGAACCTTGTGTGTAACTGTGAAGGTTAAGCAATGAGCCCAGGGGCGCAGCAAGGGGGGCCAGGAGCGAGCCACTAACCCCACTGTGTCTCTGCAGTTTTCCCCCTTACTGACTAGTTGCAGAAATTCCCTCGATTACTCAATTAGCAGATTACCCACAATTTAACATCCCCAATTCTGACCTGCAGGAGGGACGTAGAAGGCAGTGCAGAGGGCTTGAGTCCTGACCCAGGAAAGGAGGGGACTGAAATCTGGGGCAGGGGTGGAAGAGCAGGGAGCAGAGAGTTTGGGTTGTGACTTGGGGCAGGGAGTTATGGTATAGGAGGGGGTGAGGTGTCAGATGCAGGCTGTGGCCAGGATATACTTACTGTAGATGACTCCTGGATAAGCAGCCCGGTGGCACCTTCAGGCAGGCTCCCCGCCTGCCATGCCCCACATGCCACTCAAAGCATCTGGCTGCTGGGGCCAGAGTGTGCGTTTCCATATGCTGCACACACCCAATAGCACAGCCCAGGCAGCTCCCACTGAACAGTTTCTAGCCAATGGGAGCTACAAGGATTGTGCTGGGGGCAGGTTCAGTATGTGAAAACCTGCCCCTGAGGGGCATGTACCACACAAACTCTCACGCTGGGCCCAGCAGCCATCCACTTTGAGTGGCATTACCTAAGGGTCCTGTTGACCCACAGGACATTGGCAGCCAAGAGTACTGTGGCAGGCCAGATCTGAATATCTGGCGGGCTGAATCTGGCCCATAGGCCATATTTTGCCCACCCCTGCCTTAGTGAAACCTAAAGGCTCAAACACAGAAGCAAATCAAAAAGGAAAGAAAATTGATTACTTTTTTTAAAAAAAAATCTGTTACTGAGGAACCTGCCTTGTTATTTTTGAGCAACTGAAGTTAGCAATACTAATGGCAACATAAGGACATCTTAAAGAAGTATTTTAACCACAAGAAAGACAGTTAAGTTGTTTGACACCACAGAGTACGCTACAGAATTTGCTACTCTGGAATATACATCTCATTTCACATTCTGCACCTTCTCCTAAATATAAGACTACTGCAAAACTGTTAATAGAATTTCTTTTGTGGCCACTACATGACTAGAATATAGCATAATTACTATTATTCCCCCCCTTTGAGGTAGGCATCCCAGTGACAAGGAGTCCTGTTACATCCTATGAACAATTTATTTTATTTACACATGTTCACCAGAACAGAGGTGGTCACAAACAGCATGCAGGCCAATTCCCTCCTTCAGGAATCTCAGCCATAAACCAATTTTTGGTTCCCAAGAAGTAACACCGGTTTCCAAAGTTCAAGGAAGAGAGCAAGGCCTGCTGCTCACGAAGATACCTTTACTTAGAGCCATGCATAACACAACTAAGCGTTTTCAAAGAGCTTCAGCAAAATCAAGGAGTGTCACTTAAGTGCTATGGGACTCCTCCTTGTTGTTATAACTAATAGCAATATTTAGCATGTCTTCCTAACATTGAATATTTGCTGCCATTTTAAGAAAAAGTACTTGGAAGAAAGACTGTATATAATAGCACCACTTCGTGACATCTACCAACACAATATGGAGAAATTCTGGCAATTAGCGTAGGCAGGTTTGCCTTTTTCCCCCCTTACCAGTTTCACACATACTTAAGAGAAGCAGAAATTGGTCCAAAATTGTAATGACTATTAAAATAGGAAATAATTCTGATGAATTACACTGTACTCAAAGGAGTAAGGTGAATTGCACACACCACAAAACAGTCCAAATAGCACCTCCCTCAAACTAATAAGACCCAAAAATGGAACAGAGACCCAAAAGAAGAGTAAAAAAACCCCACAAAAACTGAAGTTTAATTTAATGTGGGATTGCTCATTTTAGTTCTGTACCACTTCAACTACCTAAATATTATGGAAGACTCTGGATAATTGAAAATTCTCTTGATTATCCACAATCTCAACGTCATTGTCATCTGTCAGGATGGGTGACCTGTTTTGAATAAAAAGGACTTGCACTGAAATGGAGATCTCAGCTGGGCTTTTGCAACCAGTTTCATTATTCTGCAAAGCAAATGCAACTTATTCTGTTCAAAGTGAGAAAGCAGCAGGAGTTTGGTGAGGAGGGAGGCATATTTGTGTCTGAAAGGAAATGGAGAAATAGGGCAGGCACTACCTGGGTTTTAAAAACTTTTAAACGCCCTCAAAATTAAACCCTCCTACAACCCCGCCCTATGCACATGATTAGCCCGCGCTTTGCTTGGGTATGTACAGGTGGCTGCCTCGCTGGGCTAACCACTCCCCTAGGGGACGGTGCCTTTTTTTGGGGGGGGGGGGGTCGCTGATCACGGTGTCAGTCCTAGTCTACTGGTTCCATGAAAGCCCCCCCCCCAGAACACGCAACGCGGGGGGGGGGGGCTTCTTCCTTGCAACCAGAGGCTGCCCGCTGCAAGGCGGACGGGAGGGAAGGGAGCGCCACCGCAGGAGAAGGGGGAGGGCTGGGCTTCACTCGGCACTAGAGCGCTGCCGGCAGCGAGAGGAGACGGCGCGCGCCGCCGCGAGCTCCTGTCCTACGTGGCAGGCGCTGTCGGGAGAAGCCCGCATGTGGGAAACTCAGCGCGTGGGAGGCGGCCGGAGCGGGCTTGCAAGCTGCACCGCTGCCTGCTGCTCTGCACTCCCCCTCCCCGCCAGTGCACGGCCCCCTGCTCTCCCCGTCTTGCCCAGCGCTCACCCACCTTTCTCACTCTGCGGGCCGTGTAGAGCCCCATCCCGTCCTGCACTTGAGACGACTTCAGGGCAAACCTGTCCGGCACGTACATGCCCAGCATTTTGCACTGCCCCGGGCCGCCGCCTGCTACGGAGGAGAAGAGTTCACGGGGGCCTTCATTGCAAAGGGCAGGAGCTGGGGGAGGGGGCAGCGAGGCGCCGGTTGCAGGAGTCCCCCCAAGGAGAGGGGAGGAGTCAGGCGGCTGCAAGCTTCCAACAGCCAAAGGGCGGGCTCCTATTGGCTGAAAGTTTGGCTGCAGAGAGACGGGCGGGACCTTAGGGCGGTGGCGGGTGGGGGGAGCGGCGGCGTGAGGGGAACTTCCTTCCCCCCCACCGCAAATTGCAGCCGTCAGGGCTCAGTCCCAGACTGGACGGAACCACGAGATCAGGGTCGGGAAATCCAGGGATGTTCTGATCCAGCGACGCTTGTTTCAGCCCCGTAAGCCCATTAGAGAGAGAGGGGCAAACCAGCTGAGACGCGTAGAGCCGGAGGCCTTCAGCAAAGGGGGTGATCCAGCTGCTTTTGACCCAGTTGACTAAAGATCCATAAGTTTGGGCCCCTGCCTAATATTTGACACTCCTTTGCCAAATATCATGCCTGGATGGGAGGAAAGCCCTGCAGCCCCTAATGCATTATGCTCATACATGTTATAAATTATAATCCATTTCCAATAGGGATATTTGGAAAATCCAACACTCAGGACAACAAATTGGCCCAGTTTTGGGTAGGGTTGCCAGAGGTCCGATTTTGAACCGGACAGTCCCGAATTTGAGCTTTCTGTTTGGAAAATAAATTGAGAAAATAGAAATGTCTGGTATCTTCAACATAAGATGTAATGTAGATTGTGATGTAATGTCAAGTGTGTCCCCTATTTCTGTTGAAACCATCTGGCAACCCTAGTTTCGGGCTTTGATTTTCCCTTTGTAACACTGATGAAAGTGAACCAACAATTAATCTTTCTGGGTAGAGAACATTGGGACTGCACAGATTACCTGCTACCTTTCTGTATGTGCCCTCTTTCATTTCCACGCAGTTTACGCCTTTCTGCTGGCAAAAGAAAACATCACAAGGTTAAAATCTCTCTTACTGAGGCTATGTTTATTTCTGTTTAATTTGTATTGCATATTACTTCAAACACATTTTCCAGCTGCAGTGAGACATACTCAAAAGACCCAATCCAAGTTATGGGAAACACCTGGTTTCACTGGAACTCTACAGTGTAAGAATCTATCCAAGGAGATCTTCTGGAAGTATTGGAGCCACAATTTCATGACAAACATATTGCAAAGTCAGAAATAGAAACTATATCCCTAGGATCCCGGTCCAAAGCCCTAAATACAAAGGAACTTCTGCTAGCACTCCTCTTCCTCATTCACACTCAGTCCAGCATTGAATGACACAGGGGTCTCAGAACAAATAACATGTGACCATGTAATTAAAAACTACTATAATGTATGTGCACAGGGGAATCATATTAGCACCCTAATTTTGTCATGTCCTTTGCGTATTTTAAAAACCTTCATATTTTTCTCTTAGCAGGCTTTGTTTGATTTGTAGATATTATCTTAGATGTCTGGGTTTTGTAAATTAGAAATTATATTGCATGGAACTATAATGACTCCTGTGCATAGATCATCAGCACATTTGGAATCCAGGACCCTTAAATACACAGCACAGACTTCTACAACTTATGCGGAAGATACTACTGGTATCAATACTAGGCTTTATGTAGACCAGCCATGGCGGGGGCGGGGAGAAGCAAGACCCATTGCCATTGTCTTCTTACATAGTTATTGGTTAAATAATGAGTACTAGGAACCAGAAGATGTGGGTGCTAGTCTTCACTTTGGTAGAGGGAGAGAAAGATCTAAAGATCATAGGCAACATTCATTTGGCATTTTCATTCTGAAAGCCAGGCTGGCTGAGTGGAGGAGCTTTGGGGTCTGCCCTGTTAGGCATATGGACTTGTCTTCTATAGTGCTTCTCCTGTACAATACAAGGGACAATCAGAGACAGAGGAGCTCAGGAAGGACTATTCCAGCATAAGGGTCAGCAAGGTGGCACTATACAACTCTTCCCTCACAGCCTGCTATGCTGGGGACAAGAAGATGCAGTCAGCATATTCATACTGAAGGAGAAGAGGGGCAATAGCTAAAGCACTCTGCACTATGATAATTCCATCCTTTGGAGTAGCCCATGATCAGTCTGATGTAAATTAGAGCACACACAAGAGCTGAGGACTTTATGCCCCCTCTGTACCCCTTTTCCAGATCAGTGCCTTCTGAGTCATACTTCTTGAGAGAGCCGGCCCAGAGTCTGGTCCCCCATCTATTCCATTCCTAGTGACCTAGTGCAATCTCTATGTAGTATTGCCAGCTCTCACAATGCCTGGGATTTTAATAGCAGGTCTTGCAGTATTTCATGGTTTTGTTAAAAATCCAGCGACTGGAGTAAACACATTGCATGGAAATCTTAGTTTTTCTTTTTAAAAGAAAGCTAAGCTAATTTGGTGTGTCATGTTTTTCTCTGCAACCATTAAATCACTAGCTGAAGCCAAAATGTGAATAAATAGAACAAAAAAAGTATTTTTTAAATCCCCTGACTTTTTTTTTACACCAACCTCATGCTTTTGGGGGATTCTAACTCATGATTTTTGATGCTTGGGACTGGCAATACTGGTTATGAGGCCTTGATCAATTATAATTCTGTGCACTTCACAGATTTATTAATTTCAGTCTCTAGAAGAGATAAGGCATTTCACATGTTAAAAAGCTCAGCTGAATTAGAACACTCCCACTGCAGATGCAATATTAAGAGATTTAAGTATAAGGGATGTAAGGGACTAGTTGACTACCTGATAAGCATATGCTTATCAGGTAGTCGAGTACTGATTCAACTAGTCACTCTCTCACCCCTTGGCTGCCTCCCTTAGGGGGAGGGAGCAGGAGCTGGTGCTGGAGGAAGCCAGCTTAAAAGCTGGTTCCCCCCAGCATGGTCTTGGGGGCAGAGGAGGCAGAGGGCATAGGGGAAGATCAGGCACAAGCTGGGAATCGTGCCCAGTCCCATATGCTGTGCCTCTGTTTTTTAAATGTATTAAGAGCTGCCAGGCGGCTCTTAATACATTTAAAAGCAGAGGCGCAGCATTTGGGACCAGGTGTGAGCCAGGACAGCTGATTCCCAGCTTGCACCCGGTCCACTTGCAACACCTCTGCCATTTAAAAGGCAGAGTCGAAGCCGGGTTAGCTCATAGCTGGAAGCTAACCTTGCTGTGACTCTGCAGTTCTCCCCTTATTGACTAATCGAATAGTCAATTGAAATTCCATTGACTACTAAATTAGCTGATTACCCACAATTTAACATCCCTGTCAGGTACAAATTATCTGCAGTTTATTGATCCCTAGTAGAAGCTGTTTAACATTTTTACTTAGTTACTTATGACTTGGAAAGTAGTTCATCATCCGGCTACAGAACATCAATATTATTGAATGTTTACATCTTTTCTGAATAATTAATAAATTTTACTGCCACCAGTAATGGGCCTATGCTATTGCTAGGATTTATTTTGGTTCTGATGTACTTAAACTCCTTCTTGTTGTCTTTGGCCTTGCCAACCATGGTATTTTCCCTAACGTGCATAGCTTCTCTTTCCTTTTAAATCAACATTGGCAAAATTACCTATTTTTTCCATTTTCAGAAACATCTGAACTATTTTTCTTGAATCTCTCAAACTTGTCTTGCCCAGCAAATCAGTTTGAAGCAGAGATCAAGCATGGACATTTCATCCTCACCTGCTAAAGTTTGGCAATTGCTTAATACTTTACCTTATAATACTCTATTTTCAACTTTACCTACAAGGAATAGAGTCGATTGAGGGAGGGGGAAAGTAACAGAAAATGTTGAGGATTTTACAGAACATTCCCAAACTCAGAGTTTCTTGTTTCACCAGAAAACGATAATGCAATTTTTTCAAGGAAATCAAACACTTTCCACAAAAAGTTTTGTTTAATTGAAAACTCAGTTTTCCGTTAGAAAAAGGTGATTTTTCAACCAGTTCTAATGCCTTTTGCTCTACCTATAATATATACATAAAATCACTGTTTATTTTTCCTTGATTTTAAGTTTTCATGTAAAAATGAAAGTCAAAATCTGCAAATTAGCATCATAAACCATTTTTTTTCTTGCGTAGATAAAAGCTGATTCAAGTACTGATACCTTTTACAGTATATCCCAGTGAATATTAACTTGTGGTACTGCTGCCTGTGCTGGACTATGAATAGATTTCATTCTACATGATCTGTCAAGACAGTATGTTTTATGAGCACAATGTGTTTCTACACATTTTTTGAATAAGGAAAGATGCTTAGACACCATTTACCAATCTACATATTAGTCCATATTCACCCTGCCATAAACCCACTGCATGAATGGCTAACTTCTGAGTATTACCATTACTTTAGCAACTTTAGGCACTGCTGCTCGAAGAATTTTAGATGAAATCACAGAAACTTAGGCCATATCTACACTATGAGATAAGGTGAAATTTATTAAGGTCGATTTCTTACTACAAAATTTTGTAAAGTCAAAGGTCCATGTCCCCACTTCATGCAAGAATTCAGTGCTGTTCGAAGTAGTACGTCCCCAGCAAGGAAACTGCTATCGACTCTAAGAGTGATGCACTGTGCCCCTGAGAACTAGAGCTCATGGAACTTGAACTCATGGCCATGTGTGCTGCTCAGATGTGCTCACAACTCTGGCAATATGGGAAATGAAATTCAAACTTTCCCCAGGCTTTTCCTGTTCACATGGAGAGCAGCAGAGGCACAAGTTGTGGTCAGAGCAGCCACAGCAGGGCACTGTGGGATGCCTCCTGGAGGCCAAAAATTTCTATTTTTGCAATGTTGTGTCTACACTACCGTAAATTTGGCCATGCAAGGTGGAATTTTGCATTACTCCTTGTGAAAAACAGTACTGAAATCGACTTCAGCATCCCCTGAAGTTGACAGAATGGGCTTAGTAGCGTGAACTCATTGTTTAGAAAATCTACCTTATGTGGCTAAATTCAACCTAAACTCCAAGTGTAAACCAGATCTTAGAAAGTCTGAGCTAAAAGAACTTTGCCAATCTGTATATTTTTCTGTATAGTAAAATTAAATACATACTTAAAAATAAAGCACAACTTATTACATTACATTTTGG